CTGTTGCTTGGAACATCCCACTTTGTAACTGGCCAAGAAGCCTCAACAAGTCCCCTTCTTGGCTTATTCCATTTAGAACTGGCTCGGCCGTGGGTGATCCTCCAGGTATGCTGGCTATACCGGTAATTCTATCCCATGAAATCCCGGCAAATCACCGTTAAATCAATCCCAATAAAACCAACGAAATACACCATAAACTCACCATGAAATCCCAATTCAATCCCAATTTTATTCTGGTTGGTGGTTTTTCGCCACCCCTCTGAAAAATGATGGAGTTCGTCAGTTGTGATGATGACATTCCCAATATGATGGGAAGAATAATTGAAATGTTCCAAACCACCAACCAACCATTTAATCACCCATTGGTCATGAAATCATCGAGAACATCTATGGTTTTTCGAGACGTTTTTTCAGCTCCATGGCTTCGGACAGATAGAAGTCCTGACGATTTGAAAGCCGTCGAAGACGGCGCCGGTCTTTTGTAGCCATCCATGGTGGAAGACATTGGGTTTCTACAGGATGGGGCCCCCGCAGTTTTGCTTTTTGGTTTATAAACCATGAAATAACCCCCATGAACTAGTTCGTTATATCTACCATAAACCATAGCATTCAGCCACAAAAATAAGGCAACGCTATCGACTGGGGGCCCCATCCTGCAAGAAACACCATAAATAAAAACGACGGGATTTGGGTGTGATGATGTGGAAGAAAGTGGTTTTACTTTTTGACATCACATGGTTTTGGGGGCCGGATTTTGAATGGGCTTTTCATTGCAATCACAAAGATTTGATTTTATAGCGAGTAAATGTTTTTAACATATCCGCTTGTAGATGATTTTCCCCGCTCCATTGAAAGTGGGATTTCCCGTCACCAGGGTGCCGGAAAGTAGCGCATTTTTGCAACTGCACAAAAAAACAAACGCAAAGTATGTGCATGTGGATCCTAATATTTAGTCTGGAAAACACTTGAATCATTTGTAGTGCTTTCAAAACGTATTGGATGTGTGGGCAACAAGTCTTGAAATGACTGAGCCTTCAGAGGTACACTTATGGTCACTATATAAATTGGTTTGTCTTAGAATATAATACACCAAAATGCAAGAGTTTGAACCATCATTCTTCCACTTAATTTTCGTATCCTCATTATATCCTCACAAAATACTGCTAGTTTTATGTCCATTGAGGAAAACGGCTGAACACGTTTCAACAAAACACTGCATTTTGGGATTTTACAGAGACAAAAAGGACGAGTCCCACAGCTTTTTTGCCACGTTCCAAGTCCTTCTTGGTAAAGTCCACTCCATAGCTGGGAAAAACGTCCTGGGTGCGAAACGAAGCATGGGAGTTTTTTGTGATTCCCATTGTGTTGAGGTGTTCCAACCGTTTGTAGGGATAAATGGGTGTATCTGAAAGTAGGGTACCTTAAAATTATGGTGTTATCACAATTTTTCCTAAGGCAATTGCCATGTTGCTGGGTGTATACCCCTGTTTCAGCCACACCCAAAGGTCACCAAGAGTTGTTGGTTAAACACCATTTGGGGGTGAAATCCATCAGACGCAAGTAGCCACAGCCCTTGTTTTGGCAGGTCTTCTGGACTTGCCGAGAATCGCGCAAGGTGGATGCCCGTTAGTTCGCTAAGTTGGGTTATAACTTAGGCGAATTCTAGGATTGACGGGGGATATAACAGTTTACGGAGTTTATAAACTAACAATATAACTGGGGGCCACCTTGTGGAGATGCATCCCAGTACTTGGATAATCGTCAATCAATAGTGGAAAATCGGGATATTCCATATGCAAATTTGACTGAACTACAACTTGCTGTGAATGTGCCCACTGGTCTGAACATAGAACCTTAGGACACATGCAACAACTAGAATAGAATCAACAACAGCGGATCGCCAAATTGAGTTGTACTGGTCTCAAAACCTCGGGGATGTCACGATGAAATGTAGGTCACCAGAATGATTTCGCTGTCACTTTCTGTTTTCCACCATTGGATTCTAGCTTACCCAATCTTGACCCATACTTGAACGGCCTGGTAGTGCTTGGTCCAAAGTGGTGGACTGCTGGTTGGCCAATGACATCGATCGAGTCATTGGGTCTTCAGCTTCCAATCCTCATATGTTGCATCCCCATGTTAGTCAGTTGGGGTTATGAAATTCCCAATAATATGGAAAAATAATCCAACTTTTCCAAGCCACCAACCAGTTTTAGTTGGTTGATGTTGGTTGTATCCCGTGCTGTGTTGGACAAATAATTTTTTCCACATTTGTTCGTCAGATTTCCCATCTTTGTTGCGCATCCACCCATGGTTCCGCCATGGTTTCTCCAGCTCTGCTGACCAGCCACATTATTGCCAAGTGCGAGTGCACAGCGGCCTTTTTTGGGAGGGCTACCCGGCAAACCAAACATCGTTTTATCGGGGGTCATTTTTTGCACCATGGTCATCTTGCCAGGCAAGGGGAAATTCATTTTTGAAGTCTTCAACTCATCTGCAAATCGAGTACCCTCTGGTAAACATACAAAAAACTGATGGGAAAATCACCATCTTTAATGGGAAAATCCACTATAAATGGCAATTTTTAATAGCTTTTTGTATGTTTACCAGAGGTTATATATATCTTGTTTCCTCTGGACTATATTTCACGGGCCTTATGAAAATTCTACATGGGTGCTCTGTCACGATCTTTTAGGCCCGCCCAAATGGAAATTGGGTCTTCCACATCTTCCCACCTACCGATTTGCCTGGGTCCATTGAAGAAACCTGCATCTTGGATGTATCCAGCATTCTCTTTGGTTACATCTCTGTTCCTTGGTTGTTAATCTCCTGCTTCTATTTGCGAGATCTCATTTCTCAGTTGGGGATATCTGCAGTTCTGTGGGTAGAAGAACCGTTTTCTTTGATCTGTTGCAGCCCTCCATTTTTCCTTGTTGTTGGCATTGGTATCTTGATTCTTTTCAATTGGTTGTGGCTTCAAATCGAACACACCCAAAGATGGATAGTCACTTCCCAGAATCATAAAAACCACCTAGCCCTCTGGTATCAACATTTGAACCGATCTTTGATGGTTGAACTCCCCATGTCTGGCCCCAAAATAGTTATATAGATGTAAATGATGTAAATGCCTCCTGGTTCAATCCCATGATTCTAAACCTCCCATGTTTGACTGCGAAACACCCACCTTTGCAGCTTATTTCCATATTCTCCGCCACCATTTTGGGTTTGCTGACGAACCACCCGAGTTGTGCACGGCACCTCCACTAGCTTCTCCCACCCGACGCAAAGTGTCAGAGAAGGTGGTGAAGCCTTGGGATCAAAATCGCAATTTTTCGCACACACCTACAATCGGTTGGAGTGTTGGAGCAACCCCATTGAGAAAAGAAAACCGTTTTTTTTTCGCAGTGTGAAATAAATCCCTCTATCATTCCATGAAATACTGGTTCTTTAAGAGCGAAATTCCCAGTTCATGGCTTAAATGATAATCCACAACTAATATTGGGTAGTATAGACATGTAAAACACCATATAGACTATATAGACATCAACCAGCAGGGCTTTGCGCACTGCCCAATCGGGATCATCATCAGTGCGCATGACTAGTGATTGACGGTTGAAGTAGTCGGATGAATCATATGGAGCCTTGTTAGAACAGGAGTGACCATGGCCATGTCTTTATCTCATCAAAGTAAACATAGCCGAGATGAACTTCTGTGGGTCCACGTGCGAACTTTAAATCGGTAGTTTCTATTCATCCTAGGTATTTCTATAGATCTGCAGTAACATTTCGCAAACATGGATCAAGTAGTTTTGTTATGAAGTAACAATGATTTGTGCCTATAATTGAGATCACTTTGGATTATCCGTTCTTGAAGTAGCAATGGAATTGGACCCCAATGGTTCGAGCTATTTGCCAATGGCCGTGTGGCCGTTTTCCATGGCTGAGATTACCATAGGCTAAAAGGTGAGGCCCCCCAGTGATGTTTGTTGGTTAACAAAGCCATTGACACAGTTATATTCCCCCTAGCATCCCCTAGCTTTTAACACCTAAGTTCCAAGTCCTGCGATCCCTCACGGTCGAACACGGGAACGCTAAAAGAACGCTGCATGGGAATGCTGCGGAACACGGTCTATTCAACACATATTGAATTCAAATCCAATACTTAGTCTGCTTACGAAGCAAAAGGAGAATGTACCGCAAATCCAGAAACAATCCTTCGGCCATTTTTGCCAAAACAGGATTGTCATCAACTCTGTTTGCCGTTACTTGAACCTCCATGTTAAGTCAAATGGTTCTGATTTTTTCCCCCATATATTAAAAACCCCCATTGACTGTCGCCTCCTAAACAATAGGGCCCCAACCAGGAGATTTAGGGCGGTTTAATAGGGGGAAGTGATGCTTAGACTCGCCTTCGACAACCAATTCACCATAAAGAAATATGCCTAATTAATATCCAGTATTATCACCAGCTGCATGATGACTCGTTGTTTCTACTCCATTAATCCAGTATTCAAAATTGAATCATTACTGCGGGCATATTTATTCATTAAATGATCAGCAGACCACCGCTCATGGATCATCAACATCTTTAATCATGGATCATAACGGTTTATGACTATCTGGACATTAGTTGTCCAGTTGTCCTTTAACATTTATCACAGAACTATACTAGTCCAACAGTTGTATCATATCTATCCATATCCATGAAATGCATTAGCATTGATTGACAGCATCCCTTGATATCCACTAAGATATTTCATATTCATTCTATTTAGCAAATGATATTGACTAATATGTTAGTAACTAAGTAATATATTTACATATATATATAAATAATACTAATATATATGTATATCAGAAAACACATATTCAGTGTAAAATCCATTAATTAAGCATATTGTCCAACATTCATTCTATATAACCATTGATATACATTCTACATATATCCATGAAGTAATCTTCATTTCCATAGTCATCTCAACGTTCGCTGTTCGCCCGTCGCCCGTCGCCAAGGTACCAGGTGCCTTGGGCGGATAGGGCGAATCGGTGGGTTGGTTGGCCCAGTGATCTGCCAAATCTCCCAGGATCAACCAGAGCTGTGGCTCCTGAGACTTCTGCGTCCGCGGCTTGGAAGGATTCGGTGGGTTGATGAATGGTGGGTTGATCGAGTAGGTCATATATATATACATATATATATATGAGACAATGATATATCTATAATGTAGGAATGATATATCGTGTATTATCTATATGCTGGCCATGGAGGTGTCCAGGGCAGGGATGACCTCCACCTTCTGTGCGGTCGTCCAATGCTGGCCGGAGACGACCATTTCCAAAGACTTCAGCCTTTGGTTGGCGGCGTCTACCGCCTCTGCGGGTCTCCCCTGTGGCAGGAGATCGGTGGTGTACCCGAGGGCGGTAGCTTCCCTCAATAAGCCCCCGGTCGCCTTTGTCGCGATGTAGTGGCGCACGTACTGAGACACGATTGGTGGCAACGTGTCTTCGCTCAGGCTCGAGGTCGTGCCTGTCGCTTGAAGAGGAACGTCAGTTGCCCCTTCTTGGAGGCCTTGCGCTTGAAGCACCGAAAAATCAGGTGCTGTCCACTCATCTACCCGCTTAAGCCAAAACTGGATAAAAAGAGACTCACCTGAATTTGTCTTTAAGTACGGGGCCGTTGACCCATCTTACATTTTGTGTAAGAATATAAGATGGATATGTATAGTAGTATACATGGATACGTAAAGTATCCTGATATCTATTCATCACAAAGAATGAACACCAGCACCTAGACCTAGTCAACTACTCCAGGGTTAATCCAATTCCAATTGGAGTGCGCTAAGCCCATGTACTGAATGGGGTGAACCTCCAACTATACATACAAATGTCTATACATCATATATCTTAAAAAATATATGTATTGTACGGTATCTCTTTATCTCTCTATCTATTCGTCTGTCCGTTTATCTGTCAATCAATCAATCTATCTATCTGTCTATCTATCCTTACACCTATCTATCTATCCTTACACCTATCTATCTATCCTTACACCTATCTATCTATCTATCGATCCATCCAGCTATCCAGCTATCCATCTATCTATCTATCTGTCTATCTGTCTATCTGTCTATCTGTCTATCTGTCTATCTGTCTATCTGTCTATCTGTCTATCTGTCTATCTATCTATCTATCTATTTATCTATCTATCTATCTGTCTGTCTATCTATCTATCTATCCGTCTATCTATCCTTACACCTATCTATCTCTCTATATATACATATATATATATGTTAATGTGTATATATGTATATATGTTAATGTGTATATATATATAACACATGGGATTGTATAAGAGACTGACATTGTTGCATGTATGTCTGTCTGTCTGTACGCATATATATATAGAGATTAGATGATTGCATACCAACTATACCAACTGAGCATTTGTGACTATATAGCGTAGTAATTCCAATCTCAAACCATCTCTAATATCAAACATCGGTGGTATAAACCCTCCAATCTTGGAGGTGTATTGTTGGGTTTACCACATGATTCAAGCATAATACCGCAAAAAGGCCTCATTCAGCAGGGGTTGGAAACTGGAAAAAGGGATCTTTGTCAACAGATTGGTGAGAATCAGGCTGTCAATCCTTGATACTAACGTTCGCGCAATAGTAATTACTCAAAACGGCTAGAATATATGACCACGTATGGCAAAATATGAAAAGCAACAGCTACTAGGCTACTAGTTCACTACGGTGTGTCCAGGAAAAATGGGGGTTGTTGATCACAATAACGCACGGAAAAATAACAATGCCAAGAGTGGAGACATTGGGCCAGGATAATTTACGGAGAGACTCACGCCTATTTTGGGTTTATTAGGTTGTATCTAATTCATCTATATGTGGGAAATTTATCAACAAGAAATAAAGACTGTTAATCGGGACAAGCATGGCGCTTTGCCAACTATATTCGGATAGAGGCATGAATTATCAGGCAAAATGATCATATTAAAAAGGTCGAAGATGTTGCACGGGGATATTTCCTGCCAGATTTCGGAATTATAGGCTCCCAAAATCCATGCATGCCCGTCATTCTTATATTCTTGGACGGAATATGTATTCATCATCATAATATTGGGGTACGAATTTGGACCCACACATGTCTTGTCACTCCAAAACAAAGAAGAACTGGGCCCCTCAAAGCTAGGATTAAAATCTTTGCTTTAACATGGTTACAAATCAAGCACTGGAAATTTCCATCAGATTCCATCAGCATCTTCATTTTTGTACTTCCTCAACATTTGAAGGTTTCCATAAATGGGTACCCCTAAATGATCCATTTTAATAGGATTTTCCCTTATAAAACCATCCATTTTGGGGTACCTCCATTTATGGAAACCACCATTTTTCTTCAGCATGTTTCTTCGCGAAACCGTCCACCAGTGGTTTTCCAAATCGTGCCATGCTGGGGGTCCTCCTTGGCAGCCGCCTTTAAGGAAAGATCCACCAGACTGGCAATGTCTGGAAGGGTTCATGGCTTTCTGGGATTGAGATGGAACTTTGAAAGGACACAAATACAGAAAACCATGGTTTATACCCGGAAATATGATCACATCTGCGGCTTTGGTTCGCAACATTCTTCGAGGACATGCATGACAAAATGTAGGAATCAATGTGAAATCTTTGGGTATGGCGATGGTGATAATAAAAAACCAGCCAGCAATAGGGGGATGGAAAACCAGCAATAGGATTTAGGGATTTTCCCTATTGCTCGTAGATCGAGTTTCAAACCATGGGACGGAATGGGGCTCTCTATTTTCAACCCCCCAATGGTGATTGTTTTGTGAGATTCCAGTACCAGGCTATGGCAGCCCAATTTTTGAAGCGACAAACATGTGGCCATGTTCGACTCTTATGAAGGCCACGCTGCCAGCAATAAATGGATCCGTGTTTCAAATGGTGAAATCCACACTTTTTGGATGCGAATTTTCAGAATCCGATTTCTACCATCTTGGAGGTTTGATCCGCCCGTTGAAATGGTCAAATTCCCCGTATTTATCGCAGTCAAACTTCAATTTCAATGATCAAATCCACATCTTTTGGATGTAAAGTCCACGCTCCTAATGATTCAATCCCTAATTTTGGTTCAATCCATAGTCCCAATGGTTAAATCAGTCTTTGGCCGTTCAATTCATATTCTCCCCAGCACTGCTGCTTTTCCACCTCGCCTGGATGGCGTGTTGCAGCCGAGGCGACCATAGGGGGCACTGTCTGCCTTGCACAGCTCACGCCTTGGGATGGGCACCCCGTGTGATCATCCATTTATAGATGGGATGTTCCATGCCATCCAGCGAGCTTGGGGTACCTCTGGTACCTCCATTACTTTGGAAACTTGGAAACCATCCGAGATTTTTCATATTCGAGATATTTGACCCATAGATCCGACATGATATTCCGATATATGACCGATCGATCCGACATGATATCCGCATACATGGGGGTTTCTTAATGGCTAGGCAGACCCTTGCGGGAGCTAATCCCTTGGACTTTCGAGTCAAAGCAATCACAGTTGGATGTAACAGATGTGCAAGTGGCAGTAGAGCTCTTGTAGTCCGCAACAAGGTCTGCGCTGCTGATGCAAAATCCGGCACAGCCAAACCCACACCTTTGATGATGAGCGGCACCGCCTCTTGTGAAGTGTGTACCAGCATTCTTGCACCAGCTGCGCCACCAAGCAGTCTGATTGAATCGGCCGGTTCCCAAGGCAAAATAATCCAAGGCTCTCCGGCGCCGAATTTTCGAAACTTCACAGCATCGTCAGACCCCATTGCAATTGACTGCTTGGATCCGCGTAGGCCCAATTGACGGCTTGCTAGCATGGCGAAACTACATTACACTACATTACACTACATTACACTACATTACACTACATTGCGTTGCATTACACTACATTACATGGTTTAATGACTTGGATGATTTGGGAGGTAAGCCCTATTTATGTATATTTATGTACCATAATTCTACCATTAATCCGAGTTCTATTCCCACCTCCAGAGATGAACCAAGTTAGCTAACTAAACAGCAGCACCTTGCAGGACATGTGTTTGTGGGTAAAAAAGTCAGCAAGAAGCCAGCAAACATTCGGATTTCAACAAATATCGAGATGAAACCAACCATCATGGGGATTGTTATAATGGAAAATAATGATGGTCAATCTTAGATACCCTGCAAAAAAGTAATTTCTTGGCTGGTGAACGTAGATAATCCCATACCACAAGACTAAAGGATTAGTTTCTACCCATCCAAGATTGACCTAGTAATGAGATAATGGTTGTAACCGGCCCAACGACTCCCCATCCTTCGCCGTGTTGCGGGCTGCCGGCAGCGTCAGCACGACAGAGGCACTTGGCGCTGATGGCGGCGTCGTAGCTGGGGTGGTGATGGAGATCCGTCAAGAGCACCAGGGTGGCGTCCTCACCTCCAAGATCCACAGATGGGAATGTAGTGACTATATCATACTATATCTAGTTGGTGGTTTTAACCCCTCTGAAAAATATTAGTCAATGGGAAGGATTATCCCATATATTATGGCGGACCGCAGCCTCACTGGGGCCGAGCCACTTGGCCCATGATGCCCCCTGCCGATCACTCCATCCACCTCCTGATTCCCGACCACCCAGTATGGATCATTCCGGGATTGGCGGCAGGACCAGGCGTGCTGCTCGACTGCCCAGGCTTGCGCTGTTATTTCTTTCCCGCAGCCCCGGCAGGTGATTCTACCAGGGCCTTTCCCTTGGTAGCTCAAGCACCGCGCGTTGGTCTGCTGGTGCTGCTCCAGGTGGTGCTGGCATTTCACATATTGCCAACAGATGGGGCACGAGACTCCTTGGTCATTGTCGCCGCCATCACGCCGGCCTCGGTCACGGCGTGTGCGGCTGCGGTCACCATCGCCTTCACGGCGCTCATTGCGGCGCCCATCATCAGAATGACGGCGCCCCTCGCGGCGTGGCAAAACCACCAACAAGATATCCTAACTGGATAGTTTATGTTAACAGATGTTAACAGATATGAATGATGGAGATAACGAGGAGTTCAAAGTGCCATCAGCAACTACTTCGGGATTGGTTTATACAATCCATTTTTTTTCCTACGTGCGCACTGGGGATGGTGACTCATGGTGACTATGGCATTTTGTAAATCTGAACTTATTATTGCTTCTGGCTTAACAAAAGAACACAACATGTCTTTCTTTTATCAACCAACAGAATGGCATTTTGCAAAACCTTGAATAAATCCGGCTGACAGGTATATCAGGTACTGAATCTGAACATATGCAATTTTCAACCAACAAACAACCAACAAACAGTGGGATTCTTTGGCAACATTTTTATGGCGGTTTCATGCCAAAAATCTTTCACAACGCTTCTCCTGCGATGATCCAAGTCACTGAAGCGGCATTTTTTTTGATTAAGAAACGGGGATATAAACAACAAACATCACTAGGTAGTAGATCCATCTGGTGGTTTCTTAATGGTTGGTGGGTCTCCAAGCCACCATGGGTTTCAAG